ACGAATTTACACTAGGCTGTTTGATAAAATAATTATATAGTATTTTAATATACCCGACTTTGTGTAGTTTAAATAAGCACGATATTCGCACAAATTTACATTCAACAGTTATTCTTTTGAAAGATTCATCAATGTACTTCAATGTCATACAGTTTTCAATGAAAATTGGTGTTTCAAACCTCTAAAAATCCAGTTTATTGAGTCCGCTCCAGAAATCGCAATCCGCTCCGGAAATCGAAACGGATTCTGCCAGGCGCCTCAGCATGAAATCGATCAAATTAATCCACGCGGCCCACGCAAAGCGCAAGTCCAGAACAACACATAGCGCCTGGGTACGAGGCTGGTTGACATTCGAAAACAGTTAAACTTGGGCAACTAGGTCAAAAAGAGGGGTTGCTTAGCAACGGGGTTTTGAGTACGTTTGTGATGCGTTGTTAGCGAGATTTTATGAAGAAAATATTACTTTTATTATTGTTATTTTTCATTTATTTCTCGAAATTAAAGTTAATATAAAATAGTTCGAGTCTTGAAAACATATTTTATATATTGATTAACGTAAGTGTTTATCTCTTTTCTTTCGAATCACATATCGTTTGGAATCATTGTCAGTAAAAATTTTCAAAATTTGCTTCAAAAGTTTCGAAAACGAGCTTTTTGGAAGTTTTAAAACTTAATAATTCATCACACCTTAGTATACGTTGTCGGCCATCCTGTTTGCGTGATCGCCGCGCGTGTTTTACGCGAATCATATCACCCTTGTGATATGATTGAAATCACCCACTACGTTAAATTAATTAAATACGATACGTAAGATGCAATTCGATGATAAATTTCTTGCTCAAGTGATTGGACACTTTTTATTTGAGGTATATAATAATCGTATTTATAACATATTAGCTTGCTCTCACCAAGACATGTACATGTGGTGAAACTTATAGCTGCACTATTAATTCTGTTTAATAAACGTATTATTTTACCCTCTTCGCTTCACTATATATATAAACGACTTGCCAAATTGCTTTGCCATACAACACACATAATCTTTGCAGATGATACCAGCCTAACAGCTGCGGGAGAAACATTGGTGAAGTAGAGAAGTGGGTAAACGAACTGCAAGACCTGAAGAATGTCCGAAATTGGCTATCTGCAAATAAACTTAATTTAAACATTGCTAAAACTGAGTACGTTCTGATTGGATCACGATATACAGTAGGATAAATAGTTTGGATGTTCAACCATCAATCAATAATTATTGATAAACAATCAGTCGTGCCAAATTAAGTGCTCGGAGTCCATATTGACGAGCATTTAAACTGGAGAAAGCATATTGAATCTATCGCTAAAAATTATCATCAGGAATTGGCCCTATAAAAAAAGCTAAGGAATTTGTTGACCGGAACACTTTGGTTTTGATGTATAATGCTCTAATTCAGCCGCACCTTGATTACTGTTGTTAAATTTGGGACGTAATAGGTAAAACGCTTAGTGATCGTCTTCAAAACTTCAAAATAGGGCGGCTAAAATAATTATGAATTTCAAAAATGAGTCTGGACAATTCTTATTGGCTCGCAATTGACTTGATTGGATAACCCTTGAAGAACGCAGAGCACAAATGCTAATTTACTAATTTATAGTACTATTAGACGCGTTAACAAATTCATGTTTATATAATTTATGAAATCAATAATAAACATACATCATTGGTAATTAATTGGGGAGGGATTTATCCTATCAAGTAGTACTGACACACCTCTTTTGGAAACCAGCATTTATTGAAAAGATAAGTGTGTTTTAATGTAACCTTTATAATTGTATATGTATTTATAATCTATTATTTCATGTAAAATTATTGAGCAAAATGAACTTGACTTGGCTTGACTTGACTTGACTTAAATAAAGTTGTTCCATCCATTAAGCCGGAACATCCTGCGAAACTTGTGTAAAGTGAGAACGAAAAAGACACGACTAGAGTTCTCATTCATTTTGCCTTTTAAGCTGTGAGTTTTTTAAGTGCGTTGTTAATTTTTATTGTTTAAAAGTTTTAAATTTCTTATTGAAATTGTTTGCACAAACAGATTATGAAAATTGATGAATGTTATAAAATTGTCATTATTTTCGTAATGATTCAGTGTTGCTGCAGGGAATCATAAGGCATTGTTATTACGCAGAACTGTGCGCAGAAACATTTCACCTGGGGGCAGTAATGCCTATATAAATAAGTAACCACACCTGAATTGCATTCACTGAAATCATAAAATTTAGAAGTATCCTTATGGCCGCCCCATGAAAAAATCACCATTACGATTCACAAGATTAACCACCATTTGCATTAATAATTGATAATATCATTATAATATAAAACTCGCAAGTTAAAATTTCTCGGAAGGGGTGGGGGGGGGGGGGAGTTGCCTCCTGCTCCCTCTTCCTCGCTGCATACAAAATGGATCCTGATCACAGAGGGGAAAGCCACGTGCATTAACGGCAGCTCTTCATTATTCGAGCAAATTAAATCACTAAAATGTACAATCTTACACTTTTAGCCACTTGGATTGGTAGTCATTTTTTGTAATTCATAAAAGCCTAAAGACGGACGACAGTAAAACTGCCCGAAACGCTGCGAAAATAATAAAATATTGAAATAACCTTCCGTAATCCTGTAGGATTAAAAATTAAAGAATTTAAAATTAAAATTCTCCTTCACAGGTTCACTATAGTTTTAATTTCCGCGATATAGGAATTTACATTTTTAGGAATTCTAATACAGCTTAAATGTAAATCCATGAAGTAAGATAAATAAACAAACCTCGCGAAGTGGCAATGTTCTCCACCACGATCACAAAAATATATTTCGATAACATCAAATTAGCCATTAATAAAATACCTTCAAAAAAGAAATACTGTTTGGAGTTAACATAAAAAAATCGTCTAATATTTTAATTTCAGGGAGTTAACTCCGGTGGAGTTATTTTGAGCGTCATTCATCTCCAATGTGAGGGTTAAGTAGGTTCAAATATTTCCACCGGAGTTAAAACTCTCTGAAATTAACAGAATGTACAAAGCCGATTGCTCTCTACAGATGATTTCTATCTGGCAATAAATTCAACAATGTAAAAGAGTGTGGATTTAACAACACCGCGGAAAAACGTCTGCGCATGCGTGGGAAAAAAAAGATGGCGAGGAATTTAAATGCAAAATTATAAACAAAAACATGGCTAAGTTCTTTGTATGTTTGCATGGCGATAAAATATAATAATTTTTTTTGTGGAAACACCACGTAAATTTATTACTGCAAAGCTTTCGATCCGTAAGCCCGGATCTTCATCAGTGCTAATAATATGTGACTTTTTTAATTCACACCACAGAGTAGATAAGACATACAGAGACGTAACTGACCGTTGTAAACACTGCGGAAGATTACGTTATCACAGAATAGGAAGTTATACCAGAAGCGTAACTCTAGTCGTTTCCCTTATTGTTTGACGTCCACGAAAATTTTAACTCGCTAACGTCAGGCCACGCCATCCTGGCTAGTACAGCCGGAAGTTTTTATCAGGATTTGGTAGGTACAAAGTGCCGGTTGTACTAGCCAGGATGGCGTGATTGATGACGAATCGCTTGTAAAAACGCGGACAAATATTTGCTCGAGTTACGCTTCTGGTATAACTTCCTATTCTGTGACGTTATCATGTACCCACTTTTTTTCAGGCGACCGGACGAAAAATGATCAACTGCGCGTGCTCAGCAAGTTTAAAGTGAGTCGTCATCAGGTCTTCATCCAATCAGATGCATGCATCTAGTAACTTGCCGAGCATGCGCACAAAAAAGGTGGGTACACTAGTTACGTCTCTGTATGTCTCTACTCTGTGATTCACACGCTCTTTTTATATACAAAAGTGTCGTGACCTGTTGGCTCGCGTCATTTGAAATTTAATTAAACGGCATATCAACCACGTCATTTCAAAGGTAATGATGTGTTTCCAATTAACGCGCGCGCATCCAAGACAAGATAAATTAATTTTGCACATTAAAGAGAGCACGCCACGTACTATCTAGTGGCTTTCCCTCCTGATCTATAGTATTGTGCTTCTCGATTTCAATTGACTCTCTCATTTTGCGAGAGAACTTATGACTATCAATCGCCAAAATGGTTGCTTCGTCCCATTTTATACGATGGTCGTAAGTCCAAGTGTGTTTAGCCCCAGCAGATTTATCTTGCTCTATTTAACACCGCGGAAAAACGTCTGCGCATGCACCAAATTATGAAAATATGGCGGGGAATTTGAATATCAATTTCTAAAACAAAGCATGCTTATTAATTGGTCAAAAATTAGTAAAACAAACGAGAAAATATAGCAAATGGGTAGACTAGACATTAATTGAAAGCGTCCTGGCATTTAAAGTATGGAATGAAATATAATTCATGTAAAAAATTGATGATTTTAACGGACACAACTTCGAAAATTTTTTCAAAATTATTCAAAACAAAAATTCAAACTAAAAAGTTAAGAAAACTCTTGAAAAGTTAAGCTTCTTAACCTACTCAAATTGTAGAATAAATCCTAAAGTTTAATTATTGTGAACACGAAAATTGTTTATATTTGGCGACACAGTTTTTTTTAAAGAAATGTATCTCCAACGAAAATTCGGAAATTGTCGTTGCTTAGTTGATAAGCAAAATCTTTCAGACGATAAATTTGTCAACAATCACCTTTATTTCATGTTCTTGTACAATACAATTTCTGGAACTTTCTGGTTGTATTTATTCCTAATTTTTAGAATGACATGTTTATTTTTGCACTCGAAATCTGACTGTAAAGACGCACAATGAAGTCACTCCTTTTTACCTCCATTTTGAGCCTTCGGAAACGTTTGGAACAGCTTCTCATCAAGTGAGTAATACTATTGCAGGTAAGGTTGACGCATGCGCAGACGTTTTTCCGCGGTGTTGCTCTATTTATATTTAGATTTAGATTTTATTTAAGTATGCGCGAAAGATCTTGATGAAAGCCGAGTTGGCATTAGTAAGAGAACGAATTGCTTGGACTCGTAGGCAGTTATGCAGAGTGGATGAACGTATTTTATCTCTGAATGAACAATTGTGGATGACTTTAAATGAAGAACACTATGCGACAGCTGAAAGAATGATCTCTGCGTCTTCTACGAAAACTTTCAACAAAGCACGTTCCACTCAGATTGCCAAATTCACAAAATTGGCGTCCTTTGGTCGGACGCATCGCAGACAAGAAGATTTGACCAGTCATCCACTACAACGCACAGTTATCAATATGAGTGCTAGAAGACTTACGCCGGTTGAAGAAGATGTCTTGGCTCTTGGATTAAACTTCGCTGTGGTACCCCCGTGTTCTTCCTAAAGAAGAATTCGTACAACGTTTGGAACCGAAGTTATACAACATAACGAACGATGCAGCTAGTAACATCCGCGTCCAAATCACTGAGGTTCTACGACGTGCAACGCTTCCAGCTTCGAATTTAACCAAGAATAAGAAGGATGCATTGAGAAACTTAAGAGCAGATAAGTCAATACATATTTTAAAGGCTGATAAGGGTAACGCTACGGTTATTTTAGAACGTCTAGAATATGATAATACAATCTTGGCTCTTTTAAACACTTCAACTTATAAAGAGCTTAAAAGAGACCCTACAGCTAACATTGAACGTAAAATATGTTCCAAACTATCTGGTTTTAAAAGGCATTTTGTCTCAAACACTTCATAATTGTTTGAGACCTTCAGCTACTGTTTGTCCAAAATTTTATGGTTTACCTAACATACATAAACCTAATGTCCCACTAAGACCTATTGTACCGTCCATAGGCTCGCCAACGTATGCCCTGGCTAAATATCTCGCTGAGATATTGAAACCAGTTGTTGGAAAAACAGAACATCATGTAGTAAATTCTAAAGAATTTGTAACAAAAATGGAACAAATTAGATTGAGTAAGAATGACATTCTGGTAAGTTTTGACGTAGTTAGCTTGTTCGCTAATGTCCCAGTTGAAGAGGCTTGTAATATCGCGAAAGAAAGACTTCTTTCAGATATTTCATTATCTCAAAGAACTAATCTTTCTCCTGAGAATGTTCATGATTTGTTAAAACTATGTTTGACCACGACATGTTTTCAATGGCGGGAGAAATTCTATGAACAAACAAACGGCGCTCCAATGGGAAGTCCATTGTCGCCTGTTTTGGCTAATTTGTTCATGGAGGAATTTGAAAAGAAGGTCTTAGCTACTGCAGAGTTGAAACCTGGTTTCTGGTTCAGATACATGGATGATACATTGAATAGCTGGTCTCATGGACTAGATAATTTACAAAAGTTTCTAGACCACATTAATAGTTTGCATCCATCGATCAAGTTTACTTTTGAAGTACAGAAGGATGATAAAACTATACCATTCTTAGATGTTCTTTTCACTATACACGATGATGGGTCGCTAGGACATCAGGTTTATAGGAAACCAACACATACAGACAGGTATCTGCATTATAATTCATTTCATCATCCTAGTATTAAAAACTCTGTGTGTAAGACACTCATCAACCGAGCGAAAACAATTTGTGAGGTAAGTAACGTTGACGATGAATTAGAACATTTGAGAAATGTTCTAAAAATGAATGGTTACCCACGGCATTTCATAGATAATGCTATGAAAACGCCACGAAGTATACAGCAGAAGATTGAATATCAGTCGTCTGTTTGTCTACCATACAATGGTCCGGCTTCACACAAAATCGAAAGAATTTTGAGGAATGAAGCAGGTATAAAGGTATACCATTCCAGCGAAAACAACTTGTTTCGAGCTCTTTGCACACATAAGGACAACGTAAATGAATCTCAGAAACCTGATGTGAACCGCATTCTTTGTGAATGTGGTCTGGTCTACATTGGTGAAACTGGTAGAAATCTCTCAGTACGTCTTAAGGAACACAAGACGAATTGCGAGAAAGCCGAGCAAGATAAATCTGCTGTAGCTAAACATACTTGGACTTACGACCATCGTATAAAATGGGACGAAGCAACCATTTTGACGATTGATAGTCATAAGTTCTCTCGCAAAATTAGAGAGTCGATTGGAATCGAGAAGCACAATACTATAGATCAGGAGGGAAAGCTAACCGTTTAACTCTTAACACTTCTAAATGCAAATTTATGGTTTTCGGAAGTAATGCCAAACTTGCCAAACTACAAAATATAAATCTTCTTATTAATAATAGCCCACTAAATCGTGTTGAATCATTTAAGTATCTTGGTATAACCTTAAATCAGACATTATCGTGGTCAGATCATATTGAAGCACTCTTTACCAAAGTTAATCAACGTCTTGGTGTCATACGAAGAGTTAAACACCTCCTAACTGTTGAATCTCGTCATACTCTAGTAAACAGCCTTGTCATGCCGATCTTTGACTACGCTGATTTTGTGTGGGGTGATAAAAACAACTCTGTCCTGATGAACCACCTTCAAGTTCTTCACAACAAAGCCGCTAAAATCATTCTTGACGCTCATCCACTCTCGTCAGCCTCAGAATCCCTACGATCGTTAAATTGGCAGCCGTTAGCAACTCGTAGACATCTTCACCGTTGTCTAATCATGCACAAGTATTTAAACATTGACATCGATTTTAAATTTAATTTCAAGTTCTCCTCTGACATCCACAGCTACAACACTCGAAACAAACAGAACATACATTTGGAACGCGTCAAGAAGAACTGGAGGAAGCAGGCATTCAGCTACGATGCTGCCAACGACTGGAATAGTCTGCCAGTGGAAATCCGAAATATACAGCAAATTAAAACTTTTAAAACTAAACTAAAGAAACATTTAGCTACATAGCCATAGGACTCACTACCGAACCGATTGGATGCGCAAGAACTTTATACGATATAACTTTTCATATATTCACTTTTGTTAGTTTTATATTTTTATTCTTTTATTTTTTTTATCAGGGCTCCACTGAAAATCACTTTCGTGAGTGGACCCCCTGACTAAATATTGTAATTATTATTATTATTATTAAAGCTACTAGATAGTACGTGGCGTGCTCTCTTTAATGTGCAAAATTAATTTCTCTTGTCTTGGATGCGCGCGCGTTAATTGTAAACACTCATAGAAATAATGGATATAGAATGCGTACTTGATCACGAATCATGTCTCCACTTTTTCTCATGCGTGCCCCAGTGAACTATATACATGGAAGGCTGACTTCAGTCATTGACGTAATCAAAAAGTGAAGCCAAAGATGGCGGATTTTGAAGCCATTCTTGCGCGTCATTCTCAGTCTCCTTACCCGCGCGGCCAAACAATTTTTGTATTTTCATGGCGGGAAGTGATGGGTCCGCGACTCTCGGGTTGTGTTTTTCTTCATTTTAGATAGAGCAAAAAGGGAAATAAACTTTATTTATTTCATGTAAACCTGATTTCCTTCATCTAATTGATCTGTCTACTGCATTTCCCCACTGTATGTGTGAGTAAATCTGTATTTTTCGTTGTGAATTCAACAACTAGTTTCAAACTTTTTTTGTTTTTTTGATATAAAATCTGTATTTTTATAAATTGGGAATTTATTTTTGCTTTGGTTGTTTTGTTTTCTTGTTTCTATGGTGCTTTTCAGTGTTCACACCATTATTTAGCTTATTTTAGTCCGTTTTCCTGACCTAAAACTGCTTTTTAACTGCAGTTTTCGAGGCAGTTTTTAGCCAATTTAATTTCATACATGTAAGAAAATTTTGTTTTTTAATTTTTAATTTAATAAAATGACTTTGATGATTGCCTTTTAAACTTAAACTGTTCATTTTAATGAGTTATTTATGTGTGTGAAATCCTTGTCGATAGGGGCAATAGAGATATTTTGAAAGATTGAGTGACATTTGTGTTTTGTTTTGTCACTCTTTGTCATTTACAAAAACAGCAATCCCATGCTATTTTGCTTTCTTTCCACTCAAATATCACATCTTCTAAATAAATAATAATTAATATTTAGAACTGAACCCAAACAAAACACCAGAATTCAACTTTTCATTCAAATTTCGTATGTTTTTCACCAAATTTTTGCTTGGAAAGTAAAGAAAAATTTAAAAGTTTTGTTGACCGCGCACGTAAGGGGACTGAGAATGACGAGCAAGAATGCCTTCAATTTCCGCCATGTTGGCTTCACTTTTTGAGCTCGAGTCAGACTTCCATGTTATATAGTTCAGTGGCGTGCCCTTATAAATCCGCCATGTTTTAATTTGACTAGGAGTGCAAACTAGAAAGTATAAACAAAGCTAAAACTACGTTTTTATCGTCAAAACGTTTGTTTTGTTGTCTAATTTGTAGTTTGGGGATAGATTTTGAATTCTTTGAAGGCACAAACTGTCAAAGCAAATTTGCAGTTATAAAAACGGTGAAAATCGTGCAGCCTTGTAAACAAAGTAGTTTCGCCGGTTTCGCGTAAACTGATATAACTTACTCATAAAACATTTTTGCATGCTCTGAACGTCACTACTGTCACTGTCTTGCTAATTTCTTATAAGATTACAAAATGATAGTTCTTTCTTCCTCGTGTTTTCTTTTTCTCCGATGTAAACGAAGTTTTTTTTATGTTTTTGAAACAAAAATATTTAGTTTTCGATAAACTGTAAATTGCCTAAATAATCGTCGAAAACTATGGTTTCAAAAGCTTTCTCTCAAGCTCAAGCAACGTAGAAAAATATGAAAAGTAATTGTGTAAGTTTAAAAAGATTATTGAACTTCATTTATATTATAAAAGAGTTGAAATATTTATAGAACATACCTATTGAGTTTGTCTTTATCTTTCGGATTTTGTTTTGGCTTGCACAACAACGTTGAAAATTTATTTTTAAACGACGATTTCTGTATATATTCTGTCCAGAACTGTTGCTTTTCGTAAAAAAGCCCACTAGAATGGGTTTTTAGACACCTTTTTCACTTTACGAAACATTTTTTCCATTTTTAGTCTCGACACAAATTTTTTCCCAAACTTTGCAGTTGAAAAAACAATTCGCACTCCCTGCAACCGCGCGAAATTCCCCGCCTCAGGAGTCTGGGACCAACCAAAATGCCCTTATAAATCCGCCATTTTGTGGAGACAAATTTTTCACTGAGAAAAGATAGGAGTACGCATTCTATATCTATTATTTCTATGGAAACACTTCACTACGTTTGAAGTCACGTGGTTGATGTGCCGTTTAATTAAATTTCAA